GGCTCATGGGTACCCATACATGGCTCATGGGTACCATACATGGCTCATGGGTACCCATACATGGCACATGGGTACCCATACATGGATCATGGGTATCCATACATGGCTCATGGGTACCATACATGGCTCATGGGTACCCATACATGGCTCATGGGTACCCATACATGGCTCATGGGTACGATACATGGCTCATGGGTACCCATACATGGCTCATGGGTACCCATACATGGCTCATGGGTACCATACATGGCTCATGGGTACCATACATGGCTTATGGGTACCATACATGGCTCATGGGTACCCATACATGCTCATGGGTACCTATACATGGCTTATGGGTACCATACATGGCTCATGGGTACCCATATATGGCTCATGGGTACCCATACATGGCTCATGGGTACCATACATGGCTCATGGGTACCCATACATGTGGGTACCCATATATGGCTCATGGGTACCCATACATGGCTCATGGGTACCCATACATGGCTCATGGGTACCCATACATGGCTCACGGGTACCATACATGGCTCATGGGTACCCAAACATGGCTCATGGGTATCCATACATGGCACATGGGTACCCATACATGGCTCATGGGTACCCATACATGGCACATGGGTACCCATACATGGCACATGGGTACCCATACATGGCACATGGGTACCCATACATGGCACATGGGTACCCATACATGGCACATGGGTACCCATACATGGCACATGGGTACCCATACATGGCACATGGTACCCATACATGGCACATGGGTACCCATACATGGCTCATGGGTACCATACATGGCTCATGCGTACCCATACATGGCTCATGGGTCTCCATACATGGCTCATGAGTACCCATACATGGCTCATGGGTACCCATACATGGCTCATGGGTACCTTTTTTTTTTATATTAAATTGATAAGATACACCGAGTGAACAAGTGTAACAAACCAAAGACAGTCGTAACTGTGCTTGAGGGCATGGCAGAAGCCATCCCAGGTACTTATGCAGGGCCTCGTGCCCTTCTCGGATTGGACCAGATCGCCGCAAAAGCTGTTGTCCACGTCCACCTCTTCTCATCCGGGACCCGTATCCTGCCAAGAAACCGCTGCTCCGCCTCCCGCAACTGTAGAACCTTCCTTCCCCGCCCAAGCCGAAGGTGCATCAGACCCTTCCCGCTTAAATGCCTCGTGTAGATCCTCGCGTGCATGTAGAAAGCTCTCTCAATCCTCCGAAGCACTCGGCGCGCTCTGAATTTGCTGCCCCGAAAAACAGCATCGCACCGCTCCAGCCACAACTGGTGCAGCCCAATCCCCGTTAGAGTTGCTTCCGGGAAAGCTGATTTTATGCCCGGACGTTTGAAAAGCAGGTCCCCCAGACAAGAAATGTGACGTGCCGGATTCAGCATGCGCAGGGCCCGTTTGATGGCTGAGACCACCACCTGGATACGAGGGCACTCATAGAGGCAGTGCTCTAGGGTTTCAGCTTCCCCACAGTACGGGCAGGCCGGTTTGCAGGACAAAAAGGCCACCCGTTCCCCGACTTGCAGATTCAGGGTGTGAATCCTTAGCAACACGCTACGTGGCCTGTTTGGGATGACCAGCGAGTCACGCACGTCCACCACTCGCTTCCAGTCGATTTTACCACTCCATTTGCCCTCCCACTTCAAACGTTTGCTTGAGGGCAGTCCCGCTCCCCAGAACTTCCTCATCTGCTTCAGGGGGATGACCCTCCCATGCGAGACATAGGGTAGTCCCTGCTGTTGTGAGGCAGCCGAGCTCTCCCTGCCAGCTGCCAGTAGTGCCGTTCGCCAGGCATCCGGAGCAAGCTCTAGAGCCTTCAACGCCATTTTTGCAGACGCCTTATCTCCGCCCAGCTCCCTCGTCAGAACCTCCAGCGATTTTAAAACAGGGACCCCGTCTGCACCAATATGCGTCAGTTGCCCCAACCGCCAACTCCAGAGACGCTCCGCTGCTTTTTGCCCACCGATTGGATTCGTCCCTCCGAGCAAGATTCTGCGGTTGAAAACGATCGGCTCCCGCGCAATGTCTGCAGCGTCGACCGCCAGGGGGCGCTCACCGAGCGGGGACTCCAGGATACACCCGCAGATCGCCTTCCACCTCTCGCTTCGACCTTTCCAGTGCCGCAGGAGCTTCTTGTGCGCCAGAAAGGAGTCTAATCCCAAAGGAAGCTCTGCTGCTTTCTTTGCAATGTCTTGCTTGAGCAGGTTTTTCTCCGTCACCATCAGCCCTGCACGTCTCGCCGCCAAGCATGCCAGGAGAATTCCGGGGTCCTGTACTCCAAGCCCCCCCAAGGCCCTGGGCAGATACACCAACTCCCGACTCCAGAGTATGAAGGCCTTCGCTGAAGACGCTTGGTTGGCCGACACGAAGTTGTGTAGCAACCTGGAAATTTCCAGCCATATCTCGGGAGGGGGAGGGAACACCTGCGCCTGGACTGAGATCAGAGGTGAGATGTAACTGTTGACCACCCCCGACCTCGCCGATTCCGTCAAGTACTTCTGCTTCCATCTCGTTAACTTGTCAGTGATGCACTCCAGTGCCTTCTCCCAGGTGGGAAGGCAACTTCCACCCGGCGTGATCCAGATCCCCAGCAGACGCTCCGCATCATCCACGCCAGCCCACTTGAAACCTTCTGACGAGATCGGGTTGTGAGTGCGATTCACCCCTAAAGGCATCACCACCGATTTGCCTTTGTTTGTAGCCAGTCCCGATTGTAGCTCGAAGTCTTTGAGGATCCTGACCGCTTTCTTGATTTGCTGCTTCCCTTGCAGGAACAGCGTCATGTCATCGGCATACCCCAGGTATGCCAACCTCTGCCCCGCCAAACTCAGGCCCAACTTCCGCTTCTCCACCATCTGTGCCAGGGGTTCCATCGCGCAGAGGAAAAGGTAGGGGGCCAGAGGGCAGCCCTGGCGAACACCCGACCGCACCTGCAGACCCTCGCTAAGCCAGCCATTAATCAGTAAATTGGTTGTTGTGCCACTGTGCAGGCCCTCCACCCAGGAAACGAAGCGCTCCGGGAAGCCCATGCTGCGGAGCACCCTGAAGATGAAATCACGGGACACGGAATCAAAGGCTTTCTGGAAATCCACTAAGAGCAGGTACCAGTCCTCGCTTCCGTGCTTCGCGGCGTCGATAACATCCGCGACCAAGGCGACTGCGTCCGACAGTCTGCGACCAGGAATGAAACCGTACTGCTCCGGCGATATGACTTGATGCAAGACCTTCTTGATGCGATCCGCTACCACCCTCGCCAGCACTTTGTAAGAGAACTTCAACAAAGTGATCGGGCGATAGTTGTTCAGCGACTCTCTCTCCCCTTTCTTGTGCAGAAGGATAGTAACCGCCTCTTTTGTTTCCGCAGGTAGCGTGGCGATGTCGGCAAAATCCCGCACCAGCTCCATGAAGCTACCCCCCAGCACGTCCCAGTGTGACTCAAAGAGTTCCTTCGGCAATCCGTCACTGCCCGGGGACTTGTGCGCCGCCATCGCCTTAAAAGCAGCCTTCACCTCCCCCTCCGTCCAATCCGTAACAAGGCTCTCCGCTGCGGCCGAGGAGAGCTTACTACCTGGAGCCGGTGTCCATTTCTTGGAACTGCTACGGCGATCTTCACTGAAGATGCCTGAGAAGTAGGCCGACGCCGCACCCAGAATCCCCTTAGTGTCCGAAATCACCTTTCCATCTACATGCAGTTCTGAGATCAGAGTCTTGGCCTTCCGAGCCTGGATTTTTGCTGTCAGATGCTTCGAGGCTATCTCCCCCACTAGCTCCTCCTTTGTCCCTGCCAGCAGGTGCCGGTGCTCCCTTCTCGAGGCCACATACTCCTTCAACTGCTTCGACTTGGCTTCCAGCAGATCACCATGAGCAAAGCCATGTGGGTCAGCCATAGCCTCCGGCTTCAGCCGCGCCACGATATCTGCCAGATGCGATGTGGTCGCCCGAACTCGTTTCCTCTCCTCGCGGGCATAGGACCTGAGCCCGGCATTGAGTCGTGAGGTAAGGAGTTCAAAACTGCTACCGTCCTTAACACGCGTCCTATTAACCGTGGCTTCTATTATCTTTAAAACACCCGGCTTGTTTAACATGGCAGGCGGGAGTCTCCAGAGACCTGGACCAGATCTAGTCTTAAGGTGGAGTCTCAACCCAATCTTTATAGCGAAGTCGTGGTCCGAGATAGTCTCTTCTGGCATGTCATGCACGGCGGTGTCCAGATGCGGTAAGAGAGAATGGGAGAGGAGGATGCGGTCGATTCTGGAACTGGCAGCTTTCGCTCTTGAGTAGAAGGTAAACTCCCGTTTCCTAGGGTGGAGCGTGCGGAATGCGTCAGAGATCTGAAAAGCGCTACAGCGGCGGAAGAGACGGTCGTTCTCGTAAGAGGAGCCAAACTTGGACGACTTGTCTAGGAGCGGGTTTTCAACTAAGTTGAGGTCCCCTGCTATAATAAGGTGAGACGAGGGAGGGATCTGGTCAATGACCGGGCCCAGGGTATGTGCAACGAAAGCGTTTCTAGAAGCTGAGTCGGCTGGAAAGTAAACTGCCAGTAAGACTAACTCGAAATCTTGGCTATACGCGCATGCCTGCAGGATCCTACCGGAGGGATGCTCTACTACGTCGCGGAGGCTGAAGTGCGGATTTCTACAGAGGATAGCTACCCCGCCTGCCTTCGTCTGCGCCGAAGCCGCCGCAGTGCTGAAGGAGGTGAGAGTGGTCCAGTAAGGGTGGCTGGAGGCTAATCTAGTGTCTGTCAAAACTAAGAAGTCTGCTGTCACTCTAGCCCAGTCATGAACTCTAGCTTGCTTCAGCCGGTCACCTAAACCGTTCACGTTCAGTGTCGCAAAGGTGAGGGGGGAGTCTTTATTAGTCATTTAACAACAGATTGATGACCCCTACGCATCCACAGGGTAATTGAGGCCACTACACTGACTACCGTGAAGACTACTGCGACTGCTGCTGAGACCACTCCGAGCGTGTGAGCTAAATCCCGTAGTCCTTCCTGATCGCGCCGAGACTTGCTTTCTCGAGGGTGGACTTGGTGGCAGTGCCGAGCGTCTCGAGATGCTGCAGATGGCTCGCCAGCTTGATGCGAGCGGCAGCATCCATGAGGGACGTTCCGTGCGCCTTCCTGCATCCCGTCTGAGTGCACAGCCATTCCTCCCGCAGGTTGCCAGTAGAGATGAGAGCAACTGCAGGGTCTAGCAGGATCGGCAGCGTAAGCGGGTTCACCCGCAGGGAGGCAGCTGAAAAGGAACATTTGCGGGTTAGCGGTGAGCACCAGCAACGGGAGAGGCGAAACAAAAAGAACAGAGGAGTTACCATTGATCCTGTGCGCTCTACCCAGAGACAGGTTCCATTTCCCGATGTTGTGTTGCCGCTCAGTGACATATGCGTCGTGATGCTTGTCATCGTGTTGCCCCCCGCAGAGTTTGCAGGAAAGCGACGGGTAATGGATCAGGATCAGCTTCTCCGGGTCCGATGGGTCGTTGATGGCGTGACGCCAGCGCAGCTTGCCGTTTGGATGGGGAACCACAAGGCCCTTAATGACGTCGGTGTCAGCACCTGTGATCGGATGAAGTACTCTGTGGAAACAGAGGCCTTCCTTGTAGATCGGCTTCTGGCTGATCTTGAGCTTGTAGTGAGCCAGCAGCCGTTGTAGCGCTTCAGGAGCGACAGAAGCCGAGACATTCCTGAAAACGACCTCCGTGGCCAGCGGGTTGGAGGCGCGTTCACGGACAAAGGATGGGTCGTCCGCGTGAAGCCAGTTCAGCCTGACCAGCTTGCCGTTCACGCGCTGGTAATCCACATCTTGCTGCCTGACATTGAGAGCGTCCCCCTCCAACAGGAATGAGATATGGAGCCTGCAGTAGCGAGTCTTCGCAACGTATGCTGGGTGCAGGATCTGAAATTTCGAGGTGTTAGCGACATCAGCGGACAAGACTGAGGACCACACCCGCCTCATCAGCAGCCGGACAGTAGAAACAACCGAGGCAAGTTCCTGGTGAAGGATGAAAGGGACGAGCAGAATCGCTATGTAACGCAGCCCGCAAAGCTCATCAGCCTTGAAGTCAACATCCAGTTCATCGTCGTAGTCGTCCACCAACTCTTCAACAGCATCGACCAGATGCTCAGTAGAGTCAGACTTCTCTTCCACTGAGAGTCCAGATGAGCCAGCAGCGTTGTCAACAACTTGAGCTGCCGTGATCTCAAACACTTCCTTCTTCCCTTCTGCCGTTGACAATGCAGGATCCGTCGGAGTGTTGGCGTCAGCAGCCAGCGGGTCCACCACAGCCTTGCGGGAGCCTTTAGGCGGCATCGTGACGAACAGAAGAAAAGAAGTCGCAGTCTGAGGAGAAGACGCCTTAGAGAACAATGATGTAAAAGGCAACACGAGAGTGCGTATTAATAGCAGGAGTGCGCTGCGGGCAGACCAGATCTCCAGCTCCAAATGCTGAGTTTCCGAGGTTGAAAGCCCAAGGGTAGCAGTTCCCTGAGTCTTAATAAAAACTGCACGATAGGGTGTAGCGTTGTGGTCGTTAGAAGTAATCTGAAAAGAGCCGGACCGCCTTGCGGAAAAACGTGAAGCTCGAGGCTTCTTGGGAAGCACGACAGAGATAGCGGAACACTCCGTTGACAAGAATGGTATGGTGCCCGTATGATGGGCACAATAGTTATACCAATCTGCGCGTCGCGTTGAGCTGATTCCGAAAATGTCAGAATTATAACGAGTTGCTTGTAAACCTCTTAGAGCGAACGAGCTAACCATCGCGGCAGAATCCATCGGCTCATGGGTACCATACATGGCTCATAGGTAGCCCATACATGGTTCAAGGGTACTCATACATGGCTCATGGGTACCCATACATGGCTCATGCGTACCCATACATGGCTCATGGGTACCATACATGGCTCATGGGTACCCATATATGGCTCATGGGTACCAAACATGGATTATGGGTACCCATACATGGCTCATGGGTACCCATACATGGCTCATGGGTACCATACGTGGCTTATGGGTACCATACATGGCTCATGGGTACCCATTTATGGCTCATGGGTACCATACATGGCTCATGGGTACCCATTTATGGCTCATGGGTACCCATACATGGCTCATGGGTACCCATACATGGCACATGGGTACCATACATGGATCATGGGTACCCATACATGGCTCATGGGTACCCATACATGGCTCATGGGTACCATACATGGTTCATGGGTGCCAAACATGGCTCGTGGGTACCCATTTATGGCTCATGGGTACCATACATGGCTCATGGGTACCCATACATGGCTCATGGGTACCAATACATGGCTCATGGGTACCATACATGGCTCATGGGTACCCATACATGGCTCATGGGTACCCATTTATGGCTCATGGGTACCCATACATGGATCATGGGTACCCATACATGGCTCATGGGTACCATACATGGCTCATGGGTACCATACATGGCTCATGGGTACCATACATGGCTCATGGGTACCCATACATGGCTCATGGGTACCCATACATGGCTTATGGGTACCCATTCATGGCTCATGGGTACCCATACATGCTCATGGGTACCCATAAATGGCTCATGGGTACCATACATGGCTCATGGGTACCCATACATGGCTCATGGGTACCCATACATGGCTCACGGGTACCCATACATGGCTCATGGGTACCCATACATGGCTCATGGGTACCATACATGGCTCATGGGTACCCATACATGGCTCATGGGTACCATACATGGCTCATGGGTACCCATACATGGCTCATGGGTACCCATACATGGCTCATGGGTACCCATACATGGCTCATGGGTACCATACATGGCTCATGGGTACCCATACATGGCACATGGGTACCCATACATGGCTCATGGGTACCCATACATGGCTCATGGGTACCCATACATTGCTCATGGGTACCCATACATGGCTCATGGGTACCCATACATGGCTCATGGGTACCCATACATGGCTCATGGGTACCATACATGGCTCATGGGTACCCATACATGCTCCTGGGTACCCATACATGGCTCATGGGTACCATACATGGCTCATGGGTACCCATACATGGCTTATGGGTACCCATTCATGGCTCATGGGTACCATACAAGGCTCATGGGTACCCATACATGGCTCATGGGTACCCATACATGGCTCATGGGTACCATACATGGCTCATGGGTACCCATACATGGCTCATGGGTACCCATACATGGCTCATGGGTACCATACATGGCTCATGGGTACCCATACATGGCCCATGGGTACCCAGACATGGCTCATGGATACATACAGGCTCATGGGTACCCATGCATGGCTCATGGGTACCCATACATGGCTCATGGGTACCATACATGGCTCATGGGTACCCATACATGGCTCATGGGTACCCATACATGGCTCATGGGTACCCATACATGGCTCATGGGTACCCATACATGGCTCATGGGTACCCATACATGGCTCATGGGTACCCATACATGGCTCATGGGTACCATACATGGCTCATGGGTACCCATACATGGCTCATATGTACTCATCCATGGCTCATGGGTACCATACATGGCTCATGGGTACCATACATGGCTCATGGGTACCATACATGGCTCATGGGTACCATATATGGCTCATGGGTACCCATACATGCTCATGGGTACCCATACATGGCTCATGGGTACCATACATGGCTCATGGGTACCCATACATGGCTCATGGGTACCCATACATGGCTCATGGGTACCCATACATGGCTCATGGGTACCCATACATGGCTCATGGGTACCATACATGGCTCATGGGTACCCATACATGGCTCATGGGTACCATACATGGCTCATGGGTACCCATGCATGGCTCATGGGTATCCATACATGGCTCATGGGTACCCATACATGGCTCATGGGTACCCATTTATGGCTCATGGGTACCATACATGGCTCATGGGTACCCATACATGGCTCATGGGTACCCATACATGGCTCATGGGTACCCATACATGGCTCATGGGTACCATACATGGATCATGGGTACCCATATATGGCTCATGGGTACCCATACATGGCTCATGGGTACCATACATGGTTCATGGGTGCCATACATGGCTCGTGGGTACCCATTTATGGCTCATGGGTACCATACATGGCTCATGGGTACCCATACATGGCTCATGGGTACCATACATGGCTCATGGGTACCCATACATGGCTCATGGGTACCATACATGGCTCATGGGTACCCATACATGGCACATGGGTACCCATACATGGCTCATGGGTACCCATACATGGCTCATGGGTACCCATACATTGCTCATGGGTACCCATACATGGCTCATGGGTACCCATACATGGCTCATGGGTACCCATACATGGCTCATGGGTACCATACATGGCTCATGGGTACCCATACATGCTCCTGGGTACCCATACATGGCTCATGGGTACCATACATGGCTCATGGGTACCCATACATGGCTTATGGGTACCCATTCATGGCTCATGGGTACCATACAAGGCTCATGGGTACCCATACATGGCTCATGGGTACCCATACATGGCTCATGGGTACCATACATGGCTCATGGGTACCCATACATGGCTCATGGGTACCCATACATGGCTCATGGGTACCATACATGGCTCATGGGTACCCATACATGGCCCATGGGTACCCAGACATGGCTCATGGGTACATACATGGCTCATGGGTACCCATGCATGGCTCATGGGTACCCATACATGGCTCATGGGTACCATACATGGCTCATGGGTACCCATACATGGCTCATGGGTACCCATACATGGCTCATGGGTACCCATACATGGCTCATGGGTACCCATACATGGCTCATGGGTACCCATACATGGCTCATGGGTACCCATACATGGCTCATGGGTACCATACATGGCTCATGGGTACCCATACATGGCTCATATGTACTCATCCATGGCTCATGGGTACCATACATGGCTCATGGGTACCATACATGGCTCATGGGTACCATACATGGCTCATGGGTACCATATATGGCTCATGGGTACCCATACATGCTCATGGGTACCCATACATGGCTCATGGGTACCCATACATGGCTCATGGGTACCCATACATGGCTCATGGGTACCCATACATGGCTCATGGGTACCATACATGGCTCATGGGTACCCATACATGGCTCATGGGTACCATACATGGCTCATGGGTACCCATGCATGGCTCATGGGTATCCATACATGGCTCATGGGTACCCATACATGGCTCATGGGTACCCATTTATGGCTCATGGGTACCATACATGGCTCATGGGTACCCATACATGGCTCATGGGTACCCATACATGGCTCATGGGTACCCATACATGGCTCATGGGTACCATACATGGATCATGGGTACCCATATATGGCTCATGGGTACCCATACATGGCTCATGGGTACCATACATGGTTCATGGGTGCCATACATGGCTCGTGGGTACCCATTTATGGCTCATGGGTACCATACATGGCTCATGGGTACCCATACATGGCTCATGGGTACCATACATGGCTCATGGGTACCCATACATGGCTCGTGGGTACCATACATGGCTCATGGGTACCCATACATGGCTCATGGGTACCCATTCATGGCTCATGGGTACCCATACATGGCTCATGGGTACCCATACATGGCTCATGGGTACCATACATGGCTCATGGGTACCATATATGGCTCATGGGTACCCATAAATGCTCATGGGTACCCATACATGGCTCATGAGTACCATACATGGCTCAGCCACGTGCCGCCGGCGGAAAAAACGCTCGGAACGAGCGCTTCCAGCCCCAAAACGCGGAAGGATCCGCACATGTGCAGTAATTGCAGTGGGCGCTCTTCATTCCTGAGCGCCGATGACCGATGATGCTCGCAACCCTCCCACACCCTTGCTGGTATGGCAATATGCCCAGACAAGTGCAGCCACGTGACCCGGCAGAAGAAAAACGCTCGAAACAAGTGCTTCCAGCCCCAAAACGCGGAAGGATCCGCACATATACAAGAAGTGAAGCGGGCGCTCTTCATTCGCAAGCGCCGATGATCAATGATGCTCTCAACCCTCCCACGCCCTTGATGGCTTGGAAATAGGCCCAGAAATGCGCAGCCACGTGACCCGGCGGAAGAAAAACGCTCGGAACGAGAGGTCCCAGCCCCAAAACGCGGAAGGATCCGCACATGTGCAGGATGTGCAGCGGGCGCTCTTCATTCACGAGCGCCGATGACCGATGATGCTTGCTACCCTCCCACGCCCTTGCTGGCTTGGCAATA